TAATGGAGAAGAGAACAACGATGGCGCGATCGATCAAATTGCACGCTCTGCGAGTGCCCGAAGTAGGACTACGAACTTATCGGCGGAATTTGATTCTCACGAAGATGGACTTCCTGTTGTGGGGTTGGAATTGGACGAGCGAGGTGATAGTTCAGGAATGGGATAACAATGGGTTGCCGAAACCACCAGATTATCAAGGCAATCCCGATACTTGGCAAATCTGGGATTGTAAGAAGGTCCTAGGTCGGTGCGCAGATGACGACGGTGATCTTACGTTTGACAACGAGAGTGTTCGCGTGACGAGAGAGGAAAAAAGGGCTTGTGTCGCTATGTTCAAACACCCCCGCACTAGGAAGAATGATTACCGCACAGTATGGTATCATGACCGATTGAGGCGGCATGTTGCGATTGCGTTGATACAGATTCTTCGTCTGTTTCGATCTACTTACATGATGACTTGGCAGGTGGAGTTTGTCGAGAGAGCATTGAAAGGAGATCGTATCCATTGGGCGCGTATCTTCTGGATAGCCATCCGGCAACTAATCGGGCTGATTCCAGCAGGGTCTGCTTGTTATTTGTCCCCATTCTTGATCAATTTCTACAGAGGTATGGGAATACTAACGTCCGCAGAGAGTAGGGTCTTTCCACCACGAGAAGTGCCACAGGAAGAAGAAAAGGGGGTGCTTGCTAACAAGGTCAACTCGGATCTTGACGTCGAACCGCGCAATTCGCCCTAGTAGAGGAGAAAGCGGTTCAGAGTTCGGCAAAACTCACAGCCGAGGAAGAGACAAAGGATCGATGAGGCCGCCGTAGCAAAAGAACAGTTACGACAGACGGCTCCTATCGAAATGTGATCGCCAAACTTTTGGGCCAGGTCGAAGATGAAGGTCAAGAGGTTGATACTAGAAGATGATAGCAACACGGAGAGTAAAAGAGCTGCGGCAAGAGGACGTTCCGTTTGAGAAGCGGGACCAGTGGCGATTATAGATAGAGAGAAGGAGGTATCGATGGGGAAGAAGCCTCAGATTACAGAGGAACAGTCGTCACTTGTTAAGCCACATTGGGCTTCAAAGAAAGACAAAGGGAAGGCGGTTTTGACTGAGGAAGTTTCGGTAAGGTTTAGAGAGAAGCTCACTCGAAGATAGAAACGTAAACTCTGAAGACGAGAGATACCAACAATGGTTCTCCTCTCCCTTATATAGCTCTCACCAACAAGTACAAGGAGATCAGATCTTATCCCCACCATCCATCCCACTCCTAGTGGATAGATGATGTGGCGGATAACCCTAACAAGCACACAGATCACTTACGTGGCGCTCCCACACTAACTAACACACTCAATCCTTACCTACAAGCACATGGATTGCTGACGTGGCACTGTGAACTAACACATCTACTCTGTACCTACCAAGTGCGCGGATTGCTGACGTGACAACTATGACTAGTGCACACTAAAGTATCTATATCAATATTTAGAGTAACCTCTACTTTAGTTCTAACTAACTAAAGAAGGTTAAAGTTCCCCCGATACAAGATGAGTTTCCTTTGGAGGGCATCCGGATGAGTGCTCCTCGGGAAAGAGCCGCTGAGGTACTAATAGTGTCATCGGACAGTGAGGAGTACCCTGTGGCATTGGAGGAAGTTGCGGCGAAGGCCGTAGAAGATGTGGAAGGAGCCGAGTGTGGATCATAAAAGGTAGCCTCATCCTGGACCTCCACCGAAACAGTCATACTATAGACAGGTGAGGAATCTTCAGCGGAAGAGGCACAATCGCAAGCCCTTGGCGCCGCTGATGTGTCATGTGTGCAGGAACTTCCGTTGCTCTAGTATCTCGACCAGAAGCGAGAGAAGTATGCAGACGCCAGCACGAACGAATCCTACGTGGAGATAGTACGTAACCGGACGCGGACCTAGGTAGCGGCGGCTGCTGAGGTCAACGCAAAGGAACGCAAAAGTCAGCCAACAAAAGCGAGGTATCAAGCACTTCAGAAGAGGCTGTCTGAGGAAGCTGAGAAGCGAAGGCATTCGGAGCAGGTCTGCGAGGGTCTTTGAGAGGACGTGGAGAGGGCCAAGTGCGCAAGCTTGGACCTCTTGAAGAGGTTGAGGCGTGTCAGACCGCTTATGATGCTGAATTGTTGAGGGTCGATGAGCTGTCGGCTATCTCGGAGAAGAAGGAGAAAGAGTACCAAACCAAGTTGGCAGCGAGGGCGAAGAAGTCGGCCGAGTACAAAGCTTCGTGGATCTCAAATTTGGAGTTAATAGAGAAGCTAGAGGCGCAGTGCAGCGAGCTGAGGATGCAACGGTCGCAAGCAGAGGAGCAGTTATGCGAGGTGAAAACGAGATTAACAGAGGCCAAGGGGAAGATTCGGCAGTTATTCAAGGAGACGCGTGACGCCTTAACTGCGAGAGTGGAGCGGTGTTTGCGCGGGTATGTTTTATGGCTGATCGAATTGCACAACAGACTTTGGTTACGCGAAATCGAGCCTCGAGCGGCCGAAATGATAGCGCAAAGCGAACGAAGGCATCGCCGGTTAGCCAAGAAGCTCGAAGTGTAACTCTTGAGATCGCGAAACGCGGTAGCAAAGTGATCGCTCCACTCTCGCAGTTAAGGCGTCACGCGTCTCCTTGAATAACTGCCGAATCTTCCCCTTGGCCTCTGTTAATCTCGTTTTCACCTCGTCGTCTACGCTCCTCTGCTTGCGACCGTTGCATCCTCATCTCGCTGCACTGCGCCTCTAGCTTCTCTATTAACTCCAAATTTGAGATCACCTCGTCGTCACGCGTCTCCTTGAATAACTGCCGAATCTTCCCCTTGGCCTCTGTTAATCTTGTTTTCACCTCGTTTTCTCGTTTTCACCTTTCACGACGGTCGTGAGTGTGTTGGTCACCGCGTGAGAAGTACTTCGGTTTGTCAAAGATATCGCATCCGAAGTAGTAGCCCCAATTCAAATGTTTTGAGTAGCGATTGACTAGTGTCATAATTTAAGCAAGTTCGCAATTGGTAGCTATGTGCAGAATCTCTAAGTGTACTCCTTGTCAATTTTCCCCCCTGAATCTTAAATTGAGATCGCAAACGACCTATGAGTTGTTGCAATTGACTGTTTCAGTTGTGTGTGTGTCTTACGCTTCATTGTGTGTACTCTTAGTGACCTCCGAATCGAACGCATGCAGTACTTCTGGGAGTGATAGTAGCTTTAGAATTCAAACTCTTCAATAGACTGTTAAGAACGTGACAATTGATACTCTTTGTGTTGTTTCTGTCCTCGTGAGATCGGAGCTTTACCATTATGCTCCATTTTGATATTTATCTGTCATTACATAGTTAAATATTTATAATGCCATGCAAGCAATCTGTTTGCTTGTTAGATAAAAATTGAGAGTGGGTAGTTGATGTGTTAGTTAAGAGCTACAAGTTAACAATTTGTGTGCTCATCTAGTATATACACCATGGCACCAATCCTCTAGGAGGTGATTGGATGGTGGCGATGAGATATTATCTTCGTGTATGTGTTTGAAATATTTATGTAAAAAAGAATAGAACCATTAAAAATATTTCATTTTCAGAGTTAATACTTTATATTTGAATGATTTTTCTTCTAAATTCTAACATTACAATGAGATCTTATCTCCTTGTACTTATTGGTAAGATTTATACAGAGTATAGAATCATTCTTTGTATTTCTTATCTTTAAAGTTATGTTTCATTTGTGAGTGAGTTCTTCTCTTGATTCCTAAAGTTACAAAAACCTACAAGAGAATGACATGATGATAAGAATTAATTTTGACAATGAGAGAGTAAACAAAAGAGTTGCATGATTCAATTCACGTTTAGATTTTAGAACATTAAATATAGAGACAAGAGAGATCCTAGTAGACGAGGACAAAAGATAATCGATGATGCTAATGTCGACCGAGGAAAAATACGTATTGGATTGAGAGTTGGAAATGCGAGAGTTTACATTCAAAACTTTCAAATTACAAATGATTCCAAATGTTACAAAATGTTTTGTCAAAGTATTTGTTGAAAGATGTGAAGAGATTTAGACCACAAACTTATATCATGGTTTTAAAAAAAAAGTATAAAATCAATGAATCACTACATTGGATAAAGTGAATAGAACATATGCAAGTATTGAAATGTCCAGCCAGAAAGACATCATCTTTGTTATAATATTTGAAAATGAATTCATGGAACAATTTATTTCTATTGCAATTTTACGTTGAATAAATAATGATAAAAAATGATGGAAAATAACAAACTACCACAAAACAATATTAAACCTCAACCAAACCTCTGAATATATGTATATATATAATTATATGGATCTGCATCATGTTGCACAAGCTACAACAGATGAGTATCATTGAAACCCAAGCTTCTTAATCCACTATTGAGATGGTAATATATTTTATTTGTGTGATCCATTTCGGAAGTATCTTGCCTAAGATTAGTACATCTTCAAGTTAGCTCGTTGTGCGTAAACACCCCGTCACAAGATTCATCTGCACAAAGATTGTTTGATAATGATATCTAATAAAATAATGCCCGGATACTGTGCCAACCAGACACCACAACTGGGCAAAGAAAAGCAGAAAGCTCCGAGAAATGAGATCATTTGACTCCATTCCAAATAACATAAAACTAATAGAATTATAACCTAAGACATGGACAAGTAAATTAAAAAATATGCGGAGTTGAGTAGCAATTCTCAAGCAAACTTGTTGACCCAGGGTCTTGTCATCTTGCATCCTCTGAACTGTATAGACCACGGATGACAAGGGATCCTTTCCATGACAAACGTCACAGGTAAAGTCCAGTTGGCGAAGCACCGAAGAACCGATCCGATTGTCAAGAATCCATCGTACAAGCCAGCAGCGACAGGAGGAGATCGGCCAGTCCAGTCACTCAGCCGGCGAGTCCGACCTCGACCTGGGATTCCGGGCCCAGGCAATCAATATGGTGGTCGAGGGAGCCAATCCTTTCTCGTTGCACTCATTTCTCGACTGGCCAGGAGCAAAATGCCCATTGGCGCAATATGGAGGGGACGGATGCGTCCTAAAAAAAGGGGGGACAACGGATAGAGACGAAAGAGCCATGTGGGCGTCAGTTGCTGCATCACCTCGCCTTCTTCGCACAAACGAACACAACGAGCCATGAAGTGAATCACTGCCTGCGCGTCTTAGTCCTCGAGTTTGCGATCCCTGCGAAGCCCTGGTCAGTTCATCGAGCTACCGAAATCTGCACTGCTGCGACGGTTGCATGAGGTGATCGAGAAGGTGAGGAAGTGTACGGGGTTTTAAGTCAATGCAGTGTGTAGTCGCATCTCCCAAGCTCTGGCTATGGCCGGGCGCTGTGGCCGCGAGGGTCAAGAGTGGAGGAGGCAGTGGTTGTAGCAGATTCGGGTCGAAGAAGCTGAAGGATGGTAGCATCAGCTCTGGCCTGGGGTTTTCTGGCAGCGGTGTGCTCGGGGGAGCGGCTGAGATCGGGGAGCTGACGATCTGGAAGCAGGATGCTGTTGTGGGTTCTGCCCCTTCCTGCAAGCGCGCGACGGTCCATGCGTCCTTGATGGTGGATCCTGCCGTGTCTCTCGTTCGTGTCCTCGTGTTCTATGTCCTGCTCCAGACGGGCATCGCAGGCCGTGGTCGAGCGAGCATCCAATCCTCCGCCGGTACTGACCGTCCCTTGTTCAGTCCTGTAGCATGGTATCCCTGCAGGACGCAGCGTTCTAGGAGATTCTAGCCGGGCCGATTGACATATTCTACCTCGCAACTGGAATTATCATGTTTGGGACCTTGATTCTGTGTGTGCCTGCAATGGACTATCGAAGCGCAGCTTTTCAACAGTCCTTCGTGTTCTTCTTCTCCTCAGTTGCATAAGTCCGATGTCATATGATAGGTTGTCCAATTGGCGAGCTACATTATCTATTTTGCCATGTGCCTCTTGGATAGCGAGTAAGATTAGGGTCAGTTGAGTTGATGGATGCTTTATGTTTTGCAGATGACATTTTTGTGGAGGAGCACACTGCTGAGGACAGTGGGCCGTTTGCATGGGTGCAGAGTCTTCTTTCCAACAATACGGGTAAGCACAAAGTGAATAAGAGTAGTAATAATGATGGAAATCGGTGGTGAGTGTGGTTATGTAGTTTGAACTAAAAAATTGTCTTCGCCTAGCTGATGCTTCCTCCACGTTATATCTTACGGAGGAGGGAATCAAATGGTGTCCAGCGATATGACAGTGAGACTGCTCTTTGCAGAGGAGAAGAAGAACAAGGAACTCGCTAAGGTGAGAGCAAAATGGCATGCCAGCACCAAAGGCACTCTGGTCAGGCGCTATCGAGTGCCTACAAAGACCGGTGGAAAGAAACTTCTGGCCGCCATCATGCAACTGCTGTCCGATGATGACACCTTTAGAGACGTAGCAACTCACAAGGTATGACTGCACATTTCTCTCACCTTTCGTCCATTAGGCTCATCCGCTGTTGTTCACTGAATTCCGAAGTGAATCACTGCGTTTCTTAGCATTGGCTCTCCCATTGAAGGTGATTGATGAGCTGCATTTTGAGAGAATTAGGTTTAAGAAACAAGTTCTCTTCTTCTTTCTTCTAGAAAAGCACAGAAATGAGTTCTCCTACTAAACTCGCCGATTTCTCTTGAATTCATGACAAGGCTTCGCGTTGACACGAGTAGCAGTTTGCAATTACGATTTGGTACTTAAATCACTGACAGCTGGAGCTCACTTAACTTGCTTGCAGGGCTGCCAAATCAGGCGTGAAAATGCACATGCAGAAAGTGTGTGCTGCCACAATGTGAGAGCTTTATTCGACGAACTTCCCACCCCACATCTCGTGGTGGAGATCACAGTGTTTCCTGCAGGACCAATCACAGCTGCTCACTATGAGAAGGCTGATAAGATCGAGAAGGTCCTGAAGACTGGAGTGTCCATTTGATGCTCGTTCCTTTTCCATTCCGAAGACTTGTGAAGAAACATTGTTGCTCTATTATCAAATTTGAACCTCGAAGGTTCAACTGTACATTTTACCAGATGTTTATAAACTTTCCAACTTTGCTTTCTGCCCGATTGATGAAATAATTACAAATCTATTTGTCACACCCTGGAAGTCGGAGCTTACAGAATTGGTCTACTTGTAAATCGTGCTCGCCCTATCCTTGTCTGCCCCAGTACCTTCATAGATTGCTATTATTTAACCTAAAGACTAACTCAAGCCTTTGCTGGTCTCAGCATGGTTTATTCATAACTTTGAACCATACCATGATATCACGAGTGTGTGTATAGAGCGCTATAGCATGGCAATACTCGAGTGGGTATTGAGGATCTAGGACTACGAGTTGCCTTTTGCGCTGAATCAGGAACCTTATTTTAGTAGGTCGCTGGCGTACCAGAGGGATTTTCTTCGTTTGACGCTTATTTGGCCCAATGTTGTCCTGGATGCATGGTTTCCGAAGTATTGCAACCGCTAGATGCACATACCGAGCAACCATTATTGCAACAGAGTGTTGGAACAGAGTGTTGGATCTTGTAACGATAACTGCTGGTAGCTATGGTCTTTCAAAAGTTTGTTAACTTGACTTGGCTAAATAGCGGCCTCGAAGCGATGGAGGAAACTCTATGATGTCAGGTAGATATGATTGGGGATGAGAACCTAGCATTTACAACATAGAAAGTCTACCGTTTTTTCACATTCACTCGAGTCCTACTGGTATTCAGTGAAACCGTGATATTCGATACGTTGTTGTTGCATGCTAGCATTTGCAGAATGTCTTGAGCTGAGAATGGACATCGCTTCCTTAAGATGACATTTCTCGGTGCTTGCTGACTTCCCATATTGCGCATTTCAACACGGTTCAAAAGATTCATACAGGGGCAAAAGCGCTTACCAAATAGTCTACCATAACGCTGAAACCTCCGTGTAGTTTGCAGAAAACATTAACTTCCGAATGTTAATCTTCTGAAACGAAAATGCCAGAAGCTACTAAAACGTAGTTCTTGTTTCGTATTATACCGACTAAACAATCGTGAAGCGAAAACAGCAATTGGCCAATTGACGAGTGAGAACAGTCCAGGATGTCTTTTCATCGCATTGTTCTGTGAAGCTTACTACCCCAGGAAGTGATGTAATGGCCGCCTAGATCCAGGTCTTCAATGGCAAACTGGAGATTATATATGAGAACGGCAATAAACATTTTTCGTTTGAAATATTCAAGGTTTTCATTGTTCCATTACCATAACTAAAGATATGATTGAAATAATTGGTTTAAATCAAACCTTTTCAAGAGATTTTGAATAATAATAAGAGTTATAGTTTCTTTTGTATTTTGTTTGAAGTTTTGTTATTTGAAAGTAATTTCAAAAAACAATTAAAATATAATTATAAAAAAATCAAACTGAAAATTTTTATTGAATGATAATTTTATATTTTTTTAATAAATCACAAAAACATCTAAAAATTTTGGATTAATTTTATACCCATAAAAAAATTAGCATGAAAAATAATAAAATAATTCTAGTTCACATTAGATTCTATATCTTTTACAAAAATGTAGAAGTGAAAAATTAACAACTATTTAACAATTATTATCCATTTCTCACTGCTCCCGTTCTCGATGTATATCTAGAGAACTGTGCACGACTCTGAAACACAGCTCCAACTGCAACTCTATCGGACCTCCAGAAGGTAAATATGATAACCTCTTCATTGACTTTACCATCGGCGTGGAAGAATCTGCTGTTTCCACTGTCTGGTCCAAGGCTGGACCACCCTTGCTTTAGCCAGCCATACCTTCCCAGTCTCTCGAGTGCAGCTGCCAACGGTGGAATAGATCGATCAGATGGTAAACGACTCCAAACGATATGGGGTTCACTAGGATAAGATCCAGCGAAGGTAAAAAGATGATCTCACCGGCGTACTTGGTCTAGTTGGGCCTGGCTGCTTAGCTGCTCACGATCCCGTTCGTTCCTCTTCGACAGGGTCCGAGTTCTGCGTCTTTTCGGCAAAGGTTATTGAAAGTTTCCATCTTCAATTACCTGGTCGGCTTTAATTTGTTTGACGTTAGCCAATTCTGCAAAGCAAGACGTCATACTTTTTGGCAAACAGCGTCCTCCTTCTGCAGGTACAGCATTTGTGCGGAGTGGACCTATGCCCTGTTCATCAGATGTAATTTCACGGAACCATTTAGTAAATGGTTCAGTAAAATTTTACATTGTTAAAATTTGGAAACTGCATCACGAACTGTATCTTCCAGACAGCTCACAATTTGTATTAGGATACCATCGGGATACATGATTCCGACCAACTGTGTTCCGTCGTCATTGTGATTGATTTCCCATTTTCTCTATAAACTGAAAGCTCTCGAACTCAATATCTTCAGTCGCGAGATGCTGATATGAAGGGCAAAAGTTTTGAGTGGTCAAAGTTCATCAATCCATCGCCTCTGACCCTGCCAACACATTTCCCTTTCAGAAAGAAGTAATATGCATGCCAGAAGTAGTAGTAGGAGAGATTTAGTCTGCCAGAGCAAGAGTGCAGGTCATTGACGCCACTTTTGATAATAGGCCTTCAATTGTTATTGACTCCAAATGGAATCTAATTCCATCGGCCAACCTACTCAATTCTTACTGTTATCTTCAGAAGCATAGATTACATTAAATCTAAAAGATTGCTTGTTCTAGGATCTTTTAAATCTTCCTTGCAATCGACTTCCCTCTTAAAACGATACCCAGTACTCAGCAAGTGAATATAAATCACAGCACTAGACGAGCAAGTCCGAGTCTTGGTCGAAGGAGATCGCAGACCGTGACCAGCGAGTAGCTCTTCGAAGGTCTTCAGAATAGGAAGGAATCCAAATTAATACATTTAATAGACCGAACGTGCAGTCGACCGTGCAAGCAGCTCAAAGCTAGACACCGGGACAGTTCATTATCGTCTCCATAACAACGGCAAAATTAGCAAGATCAGAAGAAACTTTCGGGTTGGGTGAATCTTACCCATGACAGCCAAACTGTTGGGACTCAGTGTCCTACAAAATTTGGGCACACCATCCAATGGAACCCAACGGCAGCTTTTATATTAATTCAAGTATTGGTTTCACTAATCCTTACTTCTACTGATTTCGCTCTCTAGAGATTCCCTGATCCACGGAAATCTCGGAGTATTCCAAAGTTTTACTCCTTATACAAGTATATGTTTACCATAAAGAGCGACGTAGGACAGACTGAAAAAACATGTTTGGGGACTATGGTTTGGAAAAGATCCCATAAGTCACTGATTGAGATCCACCTATGGATGAGATGGTCATAGATTTTAAGCCTGTTAAATGGTGCTCATTGCTTTGCAGATTATCTCAACAGCAATTTACGTAGCCATATTGCAATTCTTCTCATCAGGTGGCTACTTTCGAGAATGTGGGACTAGAATCCAGGGACTATACCGTGATGAGTATCATCACGGTTATGTTGATTACGGTTGCAATCTTGTAAACCGTATATCAGTTGGCAGGTGGGTCAAAGTTGAAACAGTTTCACGAGAATTGATTCGAGATTGCACATCGAATCTTCATAACCTACAGTGGACGATACACGAAGTGGATTGCGCGAACTGCTCTATCAGATATCGGTATTTTCGTTCTACTCTTAGCGATTTATTTTATCGCTGATAGTGGAGAGTACATATAATCTACTTGTGGAGAGCTTGTTCAGCTGATGAGTCAGGGTCATACATGACTATCAAAATCACACTAGCAAAGCTGAGCTACCCAAAACTGATGTTTAATAACATGTAACTTGTTTAACTTTTGGTTTACATCCAGTTGGACACTCTATCGGAGAATTTCTCTGACAACTAAACAACCTCTGACAACAATTCCTACGACCCCGCAGCTAGTGGTTCAGCCCCACGATGTGAAGACTCAATCGTAGGCTTGTCCAACACCTTGGGACCCGAAATCAGAATGGAAAGTAACTTTTTTTCTTCTAGTCATTGGTATCTTAGAGATTGTAGGATACAAGTTTTGAAATATTATTGTTTTTCGAACCTACCAATGTCTTTCTGGGAGAGTCCGAATTTCATGTACTTTAGTCGTTCGAGTCACAAGAGAGAACACAATCGTCGTACCGGACGAGTTCCTGCGATGGGACCAGGTGGCTACGTGTTTCCATTGCAGTAACGCACCTCGAGGTTCATTATTTGAAAGATCCGAAAATCGACTGAGACATACATGTCACAGCCTAGACTGAGCACATAAAAGGTACTCAAAGATCTACTCAGTACTTATTCAGGTCGTGTCCTCCTTCCACCACGCTCACAGCTGACAAAGACCTCTCTTCTTTGAAATGTCAAAGTGTGGAGGAGGAGTAAGTAAGGTGTAAAATTATAATGTGTGGAGCAGCTAGAAGCAAAACTTGTTCCAGAATATCATCCATGGTATCGGTTATTCTTGAATATGATAAAAGTCATCCGTGCCAATGAGATACAAACTGTTATTGTTCTTTAGAGTGATCATCTGTGGAGAATACGCTTTTTATATTCATAGAAGTAAGGACTTTTATGTTGATTTTCTGCATTTGCATATAATTGTTCAACTTTTTACTGTAATTTAAAGTTTGTTCACTGTGCAGTTAAAACTAATTTATAACAGTATATTTTACAAATTCAACCTGTTTTGGTACTTTAAGTCTTTTGGCTTACATTTGGTTTTTATCAGGAAGCATTCATACAAAGAGCGTCATTACTTACTCATTCTACAGTATATGCTAACTCTGCTGCGATTTGAAGATTTATAATCATTATGATCAAGTTGTGAATAAGTTTATATTGTCCACTTTGAATTGATTCATATCTGTTTAGAGTTATTCTCATCTTTTTTCACTGTTTCATTTTGTTTTTGTACTAATAATAATATATATATATATGATAAATAAGTTTTTTAGATAATATAAGATATATATATGATATGGATTAAAATTTAAAAGTTTGTATATGTATATTTCTAATATTTTTTTTCTCTTTTTCTTTTCTTTCCATATTTTTTAATGGGAAGGAAGTTACTTGCATATTTTCAATTATTTTATCTGATTTAACCGATTCTATAGTATATAAATAATGATGATTTTCTTTTAGAATGCAAAATGTTTATAATTTTTCCTATAATATGATCTTACGACCAGTTTTATTTTTTCTTCGGCATTTTGCTATTAGTATAAGCTTTACAAGAGAAGTGACAGGCCTCACTTTTTCCACATCATTTCATCCTACACATGCCAGGTGCTGATTCACCGGATAACATTCATCAAAACATTTATGTTTTAAGTTACGTTATTGGTCGCTATTGAAAACATCAGAGTGAAAAACATCGAGAATTACGGTTTTTTTAAAAACCGTAAAATATGTAAATCCAAGAAGTATCACCTCCGAAGCAAGGTTCTACCATTCTAACTCCAAAACAAGTTTTACACAAGAAAAAGCTACTTTCATACATGTAGAATTTGTACAAGACCTGCTAGTCAAGAACAGTTTAGCCTACAGCTAAAATCGTTTTCGTAACTAGAGTCCAATGTTGTTGTCCCCAACAACAACGCTCGCAGTTTTCTAGGTGGACTGTCTTGGATTGCACTTTGGAATCCAATTGCAAAGTTCTCAACAACGGTCCGGAAGCTGAACTGATCAGCTCTCTCCTGCCCACCAGTTTTTCTCTTTTGGTTCCAACGATTTAGTCGCAACCTTGCGAAAGAACTTCCAAGTTATCATCGCACCTCCTCTTGTTCTCCTCAGCAGAACACCACTGGGTTCTCTCCAATGCATGCGCTGCAGACTTGTATTCCTTCAAAGCAGCCTTCTCAATGAAAGTCTCCAAATCGTCGTTGGGGAACTTATCGGCAGCTGCATGGCAGACACGAGGCGTAAAATATTAAAAATCCGTTATGTAAATGTATTTCACACGTTCCACTCCAGAAATCAATTAATTAGTGTTTTGTAGGCTTTAAAGATACTGTTGCGGAGAAAGTGACGATTTAAAACTTACATCCCACAGAATGCTGCACATCGGCGAATACAGCTTGCACAGAGCAGCAAAAGTCATCGAGGGGCTTCACATTCTCTGCAGCTCTGTCCAAAGCCCTCTGAGCATCAAGAGCCAACAGGGCTGTGATCTGCAGGTTATTCAAACAATCCTCTCCTTTGTAAACCTTTTCGTAATCTGCGAGCAGGGTCGACAACTCGGACTTGCGCTGATCGACATCATCATCCAAGTTGTAGGCAACTCCGACGGCCCGGTATCCACTGGTGTGGTCGTATGCGCATTTGTGACGTCCCTCGTGATCCTCGAGAATCTGAGACACGTCGGGGATGCACAACAGTCGTAGTCCAACACCCCAAGTCCTGTAAAAACGCCCACCAAAAATTGCCTGTCAGTTTTCGACTTCTACCCGCAGTTAGCTCGATGGTAAAAGCAGACTCGCCTAAACAAAAATATATATTCAGATCGTTCATTCTCCTGTTTTTGAGCAGAAAGCAATGCTGGGAGACTTTCTAGAGTGTCTCGAGCTGAGCATGCTGATTTTACTGAACGAATAAAACGCTCACCTTGGGATGAAATGGCGGCTGTCGAGGTGTTTATGGACGGGCTGGCGAATGAGGCCGCTGTGGCGTCCTGCAATCACGGAGGGGGTGAAGACGGCGGCGAGTGCCACGAGAAGCACAAGATGAACATTCAAGCGAGCCATGATTCGGTTTGAGCTGCCAAATTCCCACACAGTGCCACTGATCAACACGCCACCCCTGCCCACACTTAATACACTCTACCCTCGAATAAGCAATGCAGCCTGTAACACTATCTGCAGGTATCCAAACAATACACGCGAGAATACAACTGCATGGAGACAGAAGCAAACCACCGATCGTTTCCGAGTGGAAAGCGCAGTGGGACTACACTCGTTGCTATACGACTTACCTGCTGAGTCGGGATTGAGAGAAGATCTTCACGTTCGGGTCGAGACACTTTCGCTGGACGATGTGATTTGCAGCTTCTGCGTCTCTCGGACAATTTATATGAGCCAGTGGGCGCTACATGTCGTCCAAGCAAGCAGCCGGAAGTTGCCGTATATGCTACCGGAAAGCATACCAGATCCAGTCACAATCTCGCAATGGAGGGGCCGGCTTCTGACCACCTGCGTACTATGCTCCCAACTTCTACCGTGAAATGCTCCCGGGAATCTCAGTCCGGCAGGCGTGCAGAAGCTCTTGGATTGCCCAGCCGGTTGCCGCGAGGGGTCGCGGGCTCGTTTTGACACGTGCTTTCGCAGTCTTAATCGGTACAGACATATGCTTGGGATCGAAGGCATCACCGCCAGGTGTTCCTCTGCTCTGGACCAGAAGGTCGATCAGAACGATGTGCCAGAGTTGGAGCGGCAGGTAGCAGGCTCATGGAGCTACGTGTAACGCATGCTTTGTTGGGAGGGCGCGGATGAGTTATATGTTCGTGTGCCATGCTTCGTCGTCACGATTACGAGGTCGTGCATGGGACAACGCCCCCCATTGAAGCTTTCGCTATGCAACGATGCCTCGACCGATCACCTCGTTTTGTGATAATGCTCATCATGTCCCTCCCTCGCCTGCCCTTGCCACCTAATCGACCGACAACGCATTCCTCCGACCAAGACGCAACTGCGTTCCGTGGCCTTTTCAGGCCCACTCGGCCCATTATGACTCTCTCGAGTGCTACCGTCAAATGTTTCCGGAGTCTCTCAATGGATCCCTTTCCCACATACTAATGGAAAATGTAAAACTCACTTTTAAGAACTGGAACTTAATACGGGTACGAAGCTGCAGTCTTTGGTGTCGGCGGGTAGTACTACGGGCTGGTTTCGCTATGACATCGAACTGGGTTACTTCCTGCAGGGGATGGATCTCAATGACAGCAAAAGCTCTGATGCCTCCAGTCTGAAACCTGTTCTAAGTCATCGACAGACGTTTGTTTCGAGTGATTGTAGCTGCAGTTGTAGATTTTTGTGTTCATGCATATAAATTCAACGGACGAAGTCCAATGTCAATTTAAGAGTAATGAAGCACAACTTAAAGCCATTCCACGGTACTTCTGAGCCTAAGTATAAAAAGCGTGTTACAAGTTCTTGACACCGAGATGCTACAGATGCCCAAGCACTGAATTTGAAGCCAGAAAAGATGTAGATTAATCGACAGGAGAACCCTCGGTCGTACAGATGAAAGAATCGACAAAGTAGGTTACATCTTTTCAGGCTTTATATCAATCCAGGACAGCTAGATTCCATCGATTTCTGACCTGTCCTCGCCAGTATCAGGAGTCGGTGTTACGCCCTACTGTTGTCCTCTCTTTCTTACTACTGCTCGACGTCAAAATCAATTTCATTTCCCAATCGATGAGAAACAAATACTGTAAAGAGTAAGAATCCCAGCCCCTTGCACTCTTTCATGAAAATGCTACCAGAAATTGTATGGATCCTCTAACACACCAAAACTTTTCCTCGATTTGAATGCCCCTCTGAATATGTGATTTACGTCCACACATCCCAATTTTAAGATCCTACGTATACGTAACTCCCGACTTTACCCTAAAGTGGCACTTTCTCTTCGTCGATAAGCAATTGAGCTATTGATGTTATCACTTCACTTGTCCTTGAAGATATGGAGCCCTGCAAAATCGGAACGCATCACAGCAAAGGGTTTATTAATAGATAAATATAACAAACATCAAAACATAGGAGCAAGGAAAGCTTAGAAAACAACACTTCCTGATTCAGAGATATCTTTCGGGTTCGGGCTGATTGCTGGTGCTGGCAAGCTGGAGAAGAAAAAAGTACCTGAGGGGTTTTTATATGTTCGTCGAGCAAAGAATCAAGTGCAGCTCGCAGATTTTTGAAAAGGACTGCAGTTTGTGCGGGAGAATTCATCTCTAGCCATGAATCAACTGTAACTCGGCCAGTCTGTTGACATACACCAATAGTTCTGTTCAGTAGTCACATTGGCCTAAAATTTGCTATCCACGGACCACATGCGCTTTCGATACAAAAAGGAAGTACCTATCTATTTTGAAGAGGAAAAGAAATGCACCGTGCGAGTCGAAAATTCAAGTATTCTAAGAATAAAACCTAGAACGCTTCCCACTGCTCTAAAATCCAATCACTAATACACCTTTCAGAGCTTTAAAACACCACAAACCTGATGTTGGACGTTGATCGCCCCACCAAACAGCAGGAGAGCATAAGGAGAAATAACAGTTGTATCTCGCAAATACACTCTACTGGTCTCCACCTGGAAATACCAAAACGGGTTGGCTTAGAAGGCAAGAGATGACAGCGTACGACCATAAGAAGGCAGTTTGTATCCGACCGGACCTGGGTCAGATCTTAAACCCAAAAACCTCACATCCTTTTTATCAGATATCAAGAAGACCACCTTCTCGGCAAGAGTGCATAGGACTCGAGAACATTGCGATTTTGAGTAGAAACGACCATGTATACCTTCTCATGGAACACTATGAATGGTTGCCGAAACTCAGCCACACTGTGGTTGATAGATGTTGGATGGATAAACACTTCCCTACGTCCATCATTCCAACGAGGACGCGCTCCGGATGACAGCCCGGCCCGACGACTCAGTGCACTAGCATGACCCGCTCGAACACTTTCCTCTTCCATGGCTGCAACATTGGGATACAGCCCTGCACACAGTGCGGCCTGCAAAGAATAAAATGTAAGATTCCGATGATGTGTTTTGATCTAGAAGAGCTGCTAATTAGTTACTGAACATCGTCACGTGAACACTTCTTCGGAAAATCAAATAAAGCCTATAGCCTAAGAACTACCCAGTAAACTGCTAGCATACCTTCACAACTGAAGCATGTGTAGAGTTTCTGTTGAAAAGTTGATTTGGATCATTTATCAGGTTTTCGAAATTCCCTCTTTTGCCTCTTTCGCCCTGAATATTTGCACGAGATTGAATGTAAGTCAAAAGTGAGGAATACTGTAGCCTCTACGACCGGATCTAATTGGTTTATCTCGATATATAGTCCTCATGTTTCAAGCTCATCGAATCAGGTTCCTCCATAAGGCGGTACTGAATAAAACAACCGTAATACCATACCTGAGGAACTTTGATGAATCCAATGTCTGCTAACAGCGAAGCAAATTGATTTCTCATATCCCTGCCAAATATTCGATCGGGATTTTGGTTAGCACCCACTAGTCTGATCTCAACGAAGCTGTAACTTAGCGGTATCAGATGTTAGTGCTAAACTAGTTGGTCCAAGTATTGCAATATCAAGCCAGCCCACTCACATACAGGTTCACCGTGTAAGCTTATCGACAAGAAATCTTAGATACCAACTGATTTCATGGGTAACCACAAGAATGTACTCACCTTAACATGTTTAGGGTGGAGCCACTCAGAAAATTGCTGCTGCAAAAGTCACGTGCTGCTCTCGATCCTTTCTGCAAAATAGAAGTTACTATGAGCTTAAAGTTGAGCATTTCGAAATTTAGCTGCTCTCTCTGAGTTCCTGACTGTTCCCTGAAATACGCTTCACGGAACTCACCAACGTCGCAAGAGTACTCCAACCGTTGTACGCAGCGACCATTGCCAGATGATCTGATTGTTGCCCAGAAGCAATATTGCCAACACCTCCATCCTTCCCCTTATCAGAAACAAGAGCTTGTTTAGCCCTCTCAGCAGCCTCTCTCTGTAAGCAGACGAATCCGTTGTTATTGATCAAACTTAGGAAAGGCTTTACAACAGGAGAGGAAGTAGGCCAGATTATGGGAACCAGAAAGGATGAGTTCTATGTCAGCACAGACACTGCATGAATGATAATGAATTTCCTGGATCAAGCTAGGTATCGAACAAGCATCCTCGAAAGTATGTGCTTCTTGACGCATCTAATTGCTATATGCGACAAACATCAAATAATACGAAGAATGACCTGGTCTTGTGGAGATATGAAAGGGGACTTGTGGCTGAGACAAGCTGCGACGGTGAGAACTGGTCCAAGACACCCAAGAACTGCTCCAAATAGCATCATCTGCAGGTAGAAGACACCAAAGTGAGAATGCCAGGACGGCCTACACCAAGTTATCACAATACAGAACAATTGATGAAACAAACTTCTCATAAGTAGCTGCTCGTTGTGAAGGCCTCCTGCTGCCCAAACAGTCTACCCCGGCAAAAAAGCTCCATCAAGATCTTCAGATAGAAAAGCGAACATACAAACCTTTCCAACGCGACAATCGACCGGAAGGTTTGCCAAATGGTAACCGAGGGAGGTCAGATTCTCATTCTCATCCAACGCTCCGACCTATAGACAGAAACAGATTGAACTAGTGTCTTGAGAGAGCAGACCTACGTGCAAACGCAAGGGAACCAACGCAGATCCCACAAACAGCCACTTAACCCGGCCCTGTTCGACAACAGCAATGAAGCAGCAGTGAAGATCAAACTTGACAATTCGCAAGATCCGTGATTCGATAAAATCCAGGCCTACCTGACGAAGTGTATCTACTGCACTAAGAACGGCCTCTGCTTTCGGAGGCTCCAAGGCCTACACACACCAGACAGAACTTGATAAGTGACTTGTACAGCGTCCTCCAAAGTCTTTTGGAATCCACCAACAAAGAGATGGTCCTGGCAACAAAGCCGAACTGCACAAAACAAGGACATAGACTTGCAAGATAGATCACCTGTTCAAGAAAAGAGGCTATGCGGCCAAGCCGCAAAAGTTTTATTTGAAGGCATAGCTCCACTAGGGGGACTCTCAGAATCTCTGGAAGCTGGAATGGGCGCATCAACTTCTCAAAACGGTTTCTAGTGAAAAGGCAGTAACAATGTCCAGATCTGACACGACCAGCTCTTCCACTCCTCTGCTTAGAATTGGCTTGAGAAATCCAGGCTTCCACCATGCTGGACATTCCTCGGCGTGGGTCGAATCTGTTTTCTTTGTGCTTCCCACTGTCAATCACGTGTACGACATCATCGATTGTTATACTCGTTTCGGCAATATTTGTGGCCAGGACGACCTTACGAAGACCATGGGGAGGTGTCTGAAAAACTCTTCGTTGGTCTGAAGAAGCAACAGAAGAGTGAAGAGGCAGTAACCACTCCGATGCTGATCCACTAAACCTTCTTGAGACTGCAAGCCTATCCCACAAAAACTGGATTTCTGCCATACCAGGCAAAAACACAAGTATGGCTCCAGGTTCACCTTCATCGTTGATATGAATAATTAAGTCCTCAAGAAGGTCATAATCGATAACGTCTTCATTCAGACTCGCCAAATTGGCCCGACATTTTTCAGAGTAATTGCTGTATAAATCTCTGTCGTATAGCGGATTGACGGCAGTTTCCTCCAGGGTAGAATCATCTCCCCAACCAGACTGAACAAGATTTTGCCGTCCTCGGCTGCTGTCCACAAGATTTCTGGTTGTCTTTTTCTTGTTTGCCTTATAATCATTGTGCATGGCCGCAGGAGAATCTGTACTAAGACTGTATTCGAGTTCATCATGAACGTCCTCTAAGTAGTGAGTTGTCACAGGGAACGTCCGACCCTTGGCTTTGATTACAGGACAATCTCCAAAGTACTGGGAAAACAGGTCAGAGTCAAGAGTTGCGGACATGAGGATAAGTTTCAGAGGAGAACCTCCTGCCTTCCTCCTCCTCTCTAGCAAGTCTTTGAGAATGACGAGCAAAAAATCACCCAAAACTGTGCGTTCATGAACTTCGTCAACTACGATATGTGAAACACCCTCCAATTCGCGATCTCCAGCAAGCCGTCGTAGCAGAATACCCGTGGTACAGAATAGAAGCTTTGTCCCTGCGTTCCAAGCAGTATCTAACCTTACTTGATAACCCACGAGAGATCCACTGCTCCCAGGTGGAGGCTCACATCGTTCCACTGCTACCCTTTCTGCAACAGAAATTGCAGCAATTCGTCTCGGTTGAGTGCAGACGATATTACAAAATCCACCTTGCCCAGCACCGATCATCTCGTCCAGTATATACTGCGGTACCTGAGTCGTTTTGCCACAACCTGTTTCACCGCTCACGACAACAACATCATGTTCTTTGAGTTTCTCAAGAAACTGATGCTTTTTCATGGCCATTGGAAGAGCGGCTCGAGAATCAAGCATGACCTTGTAGTTCTTTGATTTCAACTTATCCTCCATCATTTTCTTCAGGTGCAGGCTCTCTGATCGTTTTTGTGAGACACTCTTACTGTCTTTACGTCCCTCGGTTGTTGGCTTAGCAGGTGCCTCGTTATCTTCTTCCACTTCAGTCAAATCGTCTTGTGAGTCTGCCGCAGAGCTCTTGGAAGTGACCTCTCGTGTGATGCTGGATTGAACAAGAGAATCAACGAACGTAGCCCTACGAGCTTCTTCTCCTTTAAGCTCCATATTTCGAGCATCTTGACCTGCACGAAATACACGTCATTCACAATGAAACTGATGAAACTGAATTACGTACTGAGATAGGTGAAACCTATCTCAGTACGTAATCCACTGAGGTGAAGGCAAAAGTTCACAGATATAAGAAATGGACACACGCTGTCGGCGAATCAAACATGTGCAAGTCATAACCTGAAGTCTGCCATCGAAGACACATGCTCCGGTAAGGTTCCGGCAAAATTCGATGCAAGGGAAGATCCGGCAGCAGTATGGAGAGAGCCCACGTTGCAACTGCATTTTGCGCATCCTGAGATGGTAACAAAGCTTAAGATTACAGAAATAGCGGAATATTTATCTCAAGTTATAGTACTGAACAAAATGGATGAGGCTAGTTGACAAATGAGACAGATGAAATAGGATACTCACAGATATTGAATCAAAGTAATCTTCCGTGTGTGGTAGTTTACAAAGGACTGGACCTCCAACTATTTTATTCTTCCCGCGTCCTACCGTCGGCCTCGTGACAGTGACAGTGTACGCACATAACCTGCCTTTCGCTGGTAACTTCTCATATTTAGGTGCTGCCCAGGCATTCTTCTGACAGTGCTGTTGAAGAACAGCTTTCGGTTGTCTCAAAGTCTCTTCCTGTCATAAGGACATGAAGAAATAAAGAAGACAAAACTTAGGAAGCAGAGAGCTAGAAGTAATCTGAAACTCAAGACTTTGCTCACAAATGCGCTAATTCAGCAAGAGTCAACCACAAGATTGTCAACTTTAATGTAAGTTATTCGATCGAGAGGATTCTCCTTAAACCTTCAATTACTTAAAGTAACCCGAAACCGTTTCTCTCGTGAAGAAAAGCCTTCAGCCGATGCACTAGTGCCAAGCCTCATGTCTTGAATACATGAGTCTAAAAATACGTAAATTGACCCCAGAAAAACCAGTACATTTAGGCGGGTTCATGTTTATTAACACACACCTGTGTCGGTAGTTGACTTGCTCTTCTATTCAGAGGAATTTGCTTCTTCTTACTGCTGTCTTTCTCCAGTCCCCACGCAGTATATTTTTCTGCCATTTGAATAGCCACCACACTTTCAGGTAGAGTTTGTTCGGCTGCTGCTTCCTCATCAAACATACCCAAAATTCCACCCTCTTCGTCATCCAGAGGTTCTACTGGTTTCGTCGTGGATTTAGCTTCAGCCTCTGCTACTTTCTCAAGAATCTTTACCTCACTCTCAACCACCGAAATTTGACCCGGAGAATCAGCTTCCATAAGTCCATCCTCGATCTCACCCAAACTTGCGCTCGCCTGATCTGGAAGCTTACTCTCTTCCACCTGCTCGTCTGTTAATTCTTCTACCTGCTCGTCTGTCTCTGATACTTCTACTTCTGTATCCTGCTTGACATCCTCCACAACCGGCGCTCTGGCCCAGTCTGGTAATTGTTTGGGTTTTAGATTCACAAAATTGGGCCCTCCGGAGTTCCCTCCTTTCTTGTTTGAATATATTTTACCCAACAAAGCAGCATATGACGTTCCTACGGAATGTTGATCAGTATCATCATCGGAGGTCCTCCTACTGGCTCCCAAACTTGGGAAAGCAGTCTCTTTTGATCTTGGAGCTTTTTTGCTTTCTCCAAGGCTGGGAAACGCACTTTCCTTCAGACCTGCAACCTTTCTAGTCTCACCAAGGCTTGGAAAAGCCTGCTCTTTGGAACTAGCAATCTTTTTACTTTCTCCCAGGCTAGGAAAAGCACTATCTTTAAGACCTGCAACCTTCTTGGTCTCCCCAAGACTTGGAAATTCACTTTCTTCAAGACCTGAAAATTTCTGCGAATTGGCTGCCAGCGTCTGGTTCAGAACATCCTCTGTTAATCCTGCAAAATAATTAAAAAAATTTATCCTTCCATACAACCGGCTGCATCACAATGTGGTTGAAGCCCAACTTCACATGAGCACAGTGATAAGTATGCATTTGAGACAGGAGTATACTGAATCTACAAATACTCAATGAAGTGCCATTTATGCATACATCTTAAAGACATACCTAGGGCAGACATCTCTTGTCTCAATTCACGAATCAATCGACCTGCCGCTGCTTGCTTCTCCTTATCTCTTCTCTCCTTCGCCATAGCTGCAACCTGCTTTGCCTTCTGTAACTCTTGTGCAAGTGAAAGAGCCCGGGTACGTGGATCCACGACCTGGTAAACATAATAAAGGGAGAAAGGTTATAGACATATCAAAGCAGTGCAAGTACTGCTTGAAAGCAAGTATCTGTTTACGAATCAATGCATGGTTAACATGACTACATATGACGGTAACCAGGAGTGAAGAAGATTGGACATAATATCATCCTTAAAGAGCCCACATAGATGGCACAACGGGAATTACAGTGGTATAGTACAGTTTAAATATTTGCTGAGTGGGCTATGAGACTGACCGGCACAAATGCAAAATTGTAACCCATTCACGATGCATTGAACTAAGGAGACTGAAGAAGCACTAAGAGCATGCCCCTAAGCCTGGAGTTTGACTCATGCTTAATGCGATAGCATTCCCCAAATTCTGCAATTCTATTATCCATCGTTTATTTCCTTCATAAATTGAACTGAAACAGAGTTCATAGATAGGGCTAGTAGATATAATTACACTTAAGAAAATCAATGTATGTTTACTTAAGTTTAGGTATGTGTGGAAAAATTTGTAAAAAACTTCCAAGAGACGACAAGTGGACATTGACATGAAAAAAAAAAAAAAATTCGTGAGAACTTCACGCAGTCCCAAGATGCTAACCTGCCGTTTCTGCTTCCGCCTATTTTGTTCATTTGGATCAGCAAATACCTGCAAGCAACAAAAACGTCCATTTACAATAGGACTCCTAAAACACGAGTTCAGACTAGAGTATGAAAACATTGACTGAAGCTAAAGTCTGCCTAAAAGCCTCTTAAATGCAAGACAATTTATATTACAACTTACTCAACCTAGCATTGTAATAAAAGAAAATCATCTAAGGTGACTATTCAATTCATCAAATTAATAATCATAGAGGGATACAAAATGTACCTCCCAATCTGAATCGCCACCGCTATCTCCTTCACTCTTTTCAGCATCCTCCTAAATCCAAGACGAAGATATGCACCAGAGATTAAGAGGACATCAAAACGAGGATCTAACCAAAAAATTGAAGTTATTTTGTTATAATACAGCTTATGTATAAAAACAGATAGTCATCCATTCAGAGACTGTCACGATAATACTCTGCCAAGCTAAAGGAATTCTACACAAATCAAGAATTTTCAAAAAGCATCCACCAAACAAACACACTGAAAAGGTTGAGCCTACAGACACAGAGTATGTCATCTGCTTCACAAAAGCTTGTAAACCAATAGATATAATTGACTGCAATTTCAGTAATTCAGATAAAGAAACAAATAAAAATTCTTGTTTGCTTAAAAGTACAGACCTCTTGCTGTTGAGCTAAGTAGCGCTTAATCCAATCAGCTTGTTCTGCTTGTACAACCTTCTCAGGCTTTTTCTCTTTGATAACAGGTTTTATTACTGCTTGTGCAGGTTTGTCCACGTCATCTTCCTTTACAGGAGTAGGAGTCCAATCTGGTCGCGCCGCCGCAATCACTTGAATAGATCCTCCTACACGCCCCATGTGCCGACCAACACAAGTTCAACCGACGCCCTATACAAACAAATTGACAATTTTAAGAGGTAGAACTACGTGAATCATGAAATTGAGTAAGAATGTACCAAATATACTGTTTACAAGGCCAACATGATAGATGTCCTGATGTCGTTCTGGTGAATGGAATACGGACCCTCAATATCTGCAGCTCGGACTCCACTCGAAAACTTGATGGGCAGCTCATCCGGTGGAAGATTCATGCATAACCAATCCAACGCTCCTTCCAAGGTAGCTCCTCCCTGTGGACAGATCCCAACGGATCAGAATTACTCAGTGATTCAAAATTTGCGATGTTGATGTCGTGGAACTTGTCTAAGATGAAATAATTATCTGCCTACGTGTCGGCTTAGAAACAAGTTTCACAACAGAAAGACTTGATATTCCAAGATGAATCATAGTGATGAGGACGACAATGTTCTGCGAGCCAATTCGAGACAAATCCTGCGAATTACTTACCACCGGGAGAGCGCCCAAACCCATCTCAATCTGAGAAGCGGAAAATCCTTCCGAAACCAAAGTGTCATATATATTTCGAAGGCGCTTCCCGGCCTGCCTTTTCTGACCTTCAGAGAGCTCTTCATGCTGCTTCGATGGAGCAGCAGGGAACTGATTTCCCCCAGTATTCGCAAGAAGCTGACGTAGCTTTCTCTCATTCTCGGAAGATATATGAACTTGAGCTGCGCCCTTGCTGGCCTTGGTGGTCGCAGGCTCTCCAGCCTTGCCAGCAGCATTCTTTTTCCCCTTCTGCTGCTGGGGCTGTTTCTTGGGTGCCATCGCAGTAAAGCTCACGATTCAAACCAGCTCTTTCCACGAATCATTCATTCATCCTCCTCTTTCAAACCCTGATCGATCTCAATGCAATCCTATGAGCAAATTTCCGGAGCGACTGGCAATTCCAAGAGTAATATGAACTCCCTAGGTGACACAATCCCTCGGATCGTCGAGTATTGCAGAATTCAAGCCTATTGTAGCAGCGGTGAATGTGCAGATTGCCGTACCACCAAAGAGTCAGCTAGAAGCCTCTTCCCACTTCTGACTTGCAAACCTTGCTGCCGTATTGCTCTGTCTCCTTGCGCTGTCTCAACTTCCGACATTTAATCCGCCACGAGTTTCAGGCCATTCGCATGGGGCTAGGGAAGCACAATGAGCGGACATCATTTGCAATGATTCGTCTTATAATGCTATAAACTGGGGTTGCTGCGATCTTCCATCTTTGTTATTATTTTACATTCCATCTATGAGCGGTTAATTGGGGTGAACAGCATGTTCTTAACCAAAATCAAAGTATGGACATTTTAATTCAGATGTGCAGTAATATGTACTGTTCCTTTTGTTTGGCTTGATGAGGTTTCTCATCTGTTTATTCATCTACATGACCCTTTCTCGCCTCGGGGGCTTTACGTAATATGGACTGCAAGCGCAGGGAAGAATCCAAAACAGAGTGGCAAACAAACGCTTCGCCCAATGGTGACCGAGAATACGGTGGTGGATCTAAGTGGATATATGATGGTGGGACTAAGTAAGCATTTGACTCACATCACAAGATGAGTTGTAATTGACAGAATTAGATTATCAAAAACCAAGTGTAGAAGGAAACTTGAGGTTGTGTTGCCGTGTGCAATTTGGATCCAGTTAGTATTTATGTTTGTTGTAACTCACTTAGCAAACGTGAACAATCATATTTATCATCTCATTTATCACAGACGATTATATATCAAGGAATAATTCTGAACATGCATGATCGACCTTTGAACCTGATTGATGTCTTTGCATCTACAAATCCAAAACAAATACTTCTTTTCAATATTGTCACACCTCACAAAAGCCTCGTGCCTGTCGGGGTTAAGTAACCTATAACTTACGCCCAGGACGTCTATTGAGATATATTTATGTAGATGCTCAGCACTTCATGAAGTCAATGCAAAAGCTGACTTCATGTGCAAGGCACCGTGAACACTTATAATTTGTTATATGACAATAAAAAAAATAATTGATTTGCAATATCTGTCCTCACAGATATATGTCTGAAAAAATTTATGCATGTCATCACTCCAAATTTAGCTTATAAATTGACACCGATTTTTTAAAATAACAAATAAATTTATGACACATTATTCTATCGAAAATAGATACATTCAGAACATGATAGAAGTTATTAATATGATGCCTTAGCATGCTAGGAATATCAAACATTTTCATAGTTGAAAAATCCTTTAAAGTATTTCATAGCCTATATTATAAATTTCTGTCAGCTGATGATTGTATAGCTAAATGTATATTTAGCTATACAACATACAGCTATATACAGCTATTTTTTAAATATGAGCTATTCTCATTGATAATCGATGAGAAAAAAATAGGAAACCTAAAAAACTTTGGATGAAACTCAACTCAAATTGATATGTTCATTTAGTTTCTTTAAAGGATTCATGACTAAAAAAATGTGAAGATGTCACTAATACATAAATTTGATACACATGTTGTATCCAGATATATACCACCATGTATTTCAATCTTTAAAAGAGATTTTTATACAATGGAAATGAAATAAATACGTTACAGAGAATAATTGTTTAAAAGAGTCCGCTATTTCCATATAATTTACATAAAATTTTTTCTTAAAAAGTGATCTATATCAACTTTCTATCCATTTTTCGGCTTGCTGAAAATTCTTAGTTAAATTCAAAGCTGAAATCATGAATTGTGAAAATGATGAATGTAAATATGGATGAGTACATGTGAAAATTATCTTTCTATTGTAATAATTAATCTTATTGATGCTCTTTTATTGTAAAATGAATTTTATTGAAATTTAAAAAAAACCTTGACATAATATTTCTATCTTTATTGAAATTTATCAACTTATCATAATTTTTTTAAATAGTTTTATATTTATGTGCAAAAAATATTTCAACTGATTGAATCAAAGAAAGATTTAAGTATCTTTGTATCAATATTCAGAAGATGTTGATCTAATAAGTATAAAATCATTTCTTTGAATAAGTGCAATTTTTCCAAGATTGGATTTTCAAACTTTTATAGAAAAAAATTTATAATAAAAAAAATTTAATAAAAAAATGTGAATAAATATCATAAAAAACCAAGTTGCCAAAAAAATTCAATACATCTTAATGAATTTTTTAAATGTACAATTGAGAAAAGTTATAAGCTTGTCTTTTATACTTATGAATTTAGATGAAAAAATATTTTTAAATATGAGATTTATTATTGATGGTTCAGTAAATTTTCTTGATGAGAATAATTTTCATTGAGTTATTGATTGTTGAAATTAAGATGTGTAGAATTTTTCAAGAATCTTTTGTTTTCAATGAAAGTGATTGAAAATTTTTAATGAATATGATATCTACAACTAGTTATTAAAAATTTACAATATTTAGAATGAAAAATTTAAATTGAAATTATTGAATTAAAGCTTGATTTCATAAAGCATGACTTTGAGGCGCATTAACAAAAAGAGTCAATTTTGAATTGTAAGCAAGATCGTTTGATTGTTGGGAATAAACCTACATATTGTGATGCAAATAATTCTATATAAAATAATTTTTGACTACAATTTTGAGAGTAGAGTCTGAATTAAATAACATTGTTCAAAAAACTCTAAATCAACATAATCGTACTAGATAATACATACTATCATTAATGAGTTCCAATATCTTTTGTTATAAACCTATGAAGTCATACATAAGAAATATCAAATTGAGAGTTGATAAAATTGACACAAATTCAAGTTTGATTTTGCCATAGCTTCTATGAAAGTTAAATTTATTTCTCATATTATGTTTTATTACAATATTAGATATGATTGAATGTATACTATATTGTATTGAACATTCAAATTTTTAAGAGATTCATCATATTTTAAATATTTATATTAAAATTTTACATATAAAATAATTATTTAATATTGAAAAAATGTAATATGATTTTATTGCAAGAAGATTAATTATTAACAAAAATTCATAGATTATAGATTTTATTACATAAATTATATAATATATGAGAGTCTATAGTAGAACAGTTAATGTTTTAGAAATCAAGTTGTTTAACCTCAATTAATATTAACTCAATTGTTTATGTCATCATTAGTGTCACATATCTGTTATATTTTTTTTTAATAATTTTGATTCTAATTTATTTTAATGAAGAAATTGCTTCCATAATCAAATCACTACACATCCAATAAATTTTTTAAAATAAATAAACATTTGTTCAACATACTATATTTAGGTAAAATTTTTCTTAAGCATTATAAATTGTGGTTCCTTCGTCTGCAATGTTCTTTCTTACTTCCAAATATTTTAGATGTTAGGTTGCGACCATTGCACCTGAGTGGTCATAAGGACTTTCACAAGTGAAGACATACATCAGGCTGATGGTCGTGAGAAATTCAACCGACCTTCCCTCTTCACCTTCTCAATTACGTTACCGGATCGAAGAGAAACTAAAGAGAAAGAAATACACTGTATCGATTGTAGAGCTTTACAGCTGAGTTTACCACGCTATCGACAAAATGCCCAACACTCCCTCGTGAAAAAGACTGACGACTGACATACACTGTATCAAACACAGGACGTCGGTAATAGAAAAAAAGGCGAGATATGTGTATACGACAGAGCTGTAGGTGCAAAATCCACCCCAGTGAAACATGTATAACAAACTGGGTAAGCTTTATAAGACCCCGGATAAAGGGTTGGGTGCGGAGATCGCATGATCGATCCTTTCCTTTGACGTACAATGAATGGATGAATGAAACAATACGCCGGCGAGTTCAACTTTAGGCTGAATGTCTGCGCTACTAACTGTAAGTACACTGTTCTACTATGGATAACAACTCTGCTCTTTTTCAGTACAGGACGTGATTCAGCCAAGAAGAACTTGACATGACCTCAAGTCGGAACATGATAATCATCGGAAGATAACTTTGTCGTCGAGTTGGTCATACTCTAACCTGATAGTCATCGAGACAAAACGCTGCGGCCTTTCCACAGATTCCCTATTTGATCTGTGAGTTTCGAGCTGACATGCTTGCTTTGGGTAGGGGCTAGAGTATCAGGCTATGATCTGGTTTCACGGATAAAATAAAGGAAACGAGATCATCAGTGACAACGTTGACAGGCAGCTCTCTTTAAAAGCTGCGTCGCTGCTCAATCCCATGCCCAACCATCGGCATAACAATGATTGGGCTTCATCAGTAAGTACAACACAAACCACAAACTTTTCTACTGTGAGCAACTTTACTGCTTGCCACAGTGGTTGCATATACAATCACCAACACATTGGCAAGCTGTTCCTATTATCTTCAATACTGACGGTCTTTGATAGTGCTTTCGACACCGACGGAAGATATTATCGTACAACATATCGAACTGGACCCCTGCTCTATCTTTGTTTATGATAAAATGGATATGGTCTCCTTCGATGACTCTGTAATACCTGCAAGCCAGAGGAAAACACATGAGGTTAAAACAGATTTACGTAATAAACAATGGGATGCATCTGGTAAGCTGAGTAATTTGTAAGAGAGAGTGAAAGGACGGAATACACAAAAGTAGGCACGTACCAGATTCCAGGCTGAAATGTCTGGCCAACCTGCAGCTCGTCGCTTTCCATCTCTTGATGAGGGTGAGGTGTGGGTATACAAGGAAACAATTGAGACTTCGTATTCAAAGCACCGTCATTATCCTTCCAGTCTTCGTCTCTGCGCGTGTGATACAAAGTGTCAACACCAAGCATAATTCTCATAACTGCTCCAAACGAAAACCATACTGCGTTGGTATAAATTCCAGCCCAATATTTGCTCATCGACTCTGCTTAAGACATTCGTCTCACACACCAAAAGGAATAGCTCTTACCTGTAGCCTTCATAAGGAGGAGTCGAGAAACGGAAGAGGCACATTTGTATAGACCGAATGAGGAGAAGAGGGTGAACTCTGAATAATGAAAATGGCAGAGTGAACCCAAACGTCTTGCGCGTGATCTTGGCTCCATAACTGAATTCCGCCAGCTCAGATTTAGAAGCCCATAAATCAATCGTAACTCATATAACAAGGTTTACTGGTGTATCCAAGAATAGAACTACTCCCCGCAGAGGATTTTTACAATCTGCATTAACGAAAGCCAGGAGAAAGAACATGAAAGTGTAAAGTTCAGCTGGTGCTCTCAACTCACCTGAAGTAATAAGTGTTAGGAAAAGTCTTGACTCGCTTGTTGAACTCGATTGCGGAATGAATGCTTAAATCAGGCAGAATCCAGTCTGAATGTGCAAACGGTCCTGTTTGACCAGATAACGTACTGATGAGCCCCATCAGCCCGGCCTTGCGCCAACTTAGATTATAATGTTCGAACCCAAATCCGTAATATTTATTAAAAAGTCCAAAGTCGATCCATTCGTAGATGAGAACAGCTATCCGCAGTATCTGTAACAAGCATACTGACCGCAAGGTGCGACCATCCTCGCTGTAAGGAAAGAACATACATCCGATATTAGCATCTGCAAGCAGGATAGACTGCGAATACGACTATGACAACGTGCACAACCTCAGCTTCCATGCACAGATGATTGAGCCAAATGGGTATCGAAGAGGAAGGCTCTGGCCTTACTTAAGATGCTATGGAAAATAAGAATCTCATTGATATCTTAGGCCTTACCGTTACGCAAACATTACCTGATGCCATCCATGTGAACTCGAGTAGTCCCGTTTAGAGCACCCGACAGAGAAGTTATACTAATCACCCAATTTTCGTTGGTATTCTCGTGGCCAGGAAATTTCTGTAGTCATACCAGGAACAAGAAATTAGAAACTTAAGGAAGCAGACCACCCCATTGTAACTCGGGAGCCGAAGTTGCATTGCAATTAGAAGGATGAATTGGCAATACCTTCTCTGCTAACAATTGCTGTAACAACCGTGCAACCTGAACACCAGTTGAGTGGCCAACGAAATGAACAGGGTGATGCTCATCCCACTCGGGGTAGTGTCCTGTAAACAAATCACACAAAATTTATCCACATAATACTCACGTGTTTCGAAATTAAGGATGACCTACACCACAGATCCAAACTGGTTCCAAAGGTTGAAAACCACTTCAATTCCACTGAATTAAGAGCATCCGAAACATTGTCAAGTGCAGTAAAAGCATTCCCAGTTTGCACTTTCAGCAAATTTCAAGGGGTACAAACTGCTTCCGTACATGTTGAAGAAATGTTTACTAGCTGCAACTCGCTTCCGCTTTTCAGAGGTGTGCAATGCCGTACCTTCATAATATGTTCGGCCAATGGGTGCATGCCCGAACTCCTTCCCATGAGCATCACCGTAGTGGACAGTCCCACCCTTTAGGTAGTAGAACAGCGCACACGCCCTGGAGAATGTATCACGCAAAAAAATTAAAAAATTGTGTCTTTCTTCAGACTGAAGTTCGATAGAGAATTCATTTCAGGTAAACACGACTTTCCGATACCACGTTCTTCACCATTCTCAACAAAAAGCGGTTGCAGCCTCAAAAATAACCACCACAGGCCGAATACAAGAATTGCTACGCCGAGGTGCGACAGGAGATTTTTGCTAAACGAATGACAGCTAACAAGCTTCATTCCAGAACCAACTTTCTCACCTGTCATGAATGCTTGTAAGCGACCCAAGGTCCGGAACCAGAACTCGGTCGTCTTTTTGTTCCGCACCACCCCAGTACGAGAGCTTTCCCAATTTCTGTCTTAACATAAAGAGAGATCTAATCAGTAGGTATTTCAAAAACCCCCTATCGGACTGCACTGAGATTCAATCACGAAATCAGAACAGAATGACCCTAGCGGCTACTTTACGTATCCTGTGCTAAAAAATGATCATTTCCGCGTTTAGATGAAGGTACTGACCCCTTTTCCAAACCCAAATATTCCGTGAAGCATAACGATTGGAGTCTTCACGTCTGAGTCCATAAAAGCTGTGGCAGCAGTGTGCAGCATATGACGTTCGGGATCATCTTCAGCCAAATCAACCAAACTTCCGCTCATGGGAGATAATGCGGAAGACAGGAACGGCATGACTTTGCTTGAACTCTTTCGATGTTCTTCGGAGATGAACCCAGCTAGATCCAGGACAATCGCAGACGCAAAAATCCAGAGACCGTACGTCATGTGCACGAGTGTACTCACAAAGAGCTCCACCATACTGACAACTGAGTAAAGCCACCATCGTAGTACCATCGATTTCCAGGATACTGCGCAAAGTCGATGCTACTGTCACCGCCCTGAAGTAGGAGACTACTCCTTACCCCTCTACAATTTCGTGCGTGACAAGAAAGGGTCCTCAGAATAGCATTCGTCACCCAGATCCTGCTCTTCCGTTCAGAGACGTCTGTTACGTGCGGGAGCCTTGACTCGGGCAAGGCAACAGGGTCTGACAACAGACAGAGCAGACCTCCCTCGGCCGCCCTCTTGGTCTCAATTGGCTAATGAGCAAGACGGATGTTGCCGACTGAGCGCGATCGAGGACGAATTCCTTCGTCTGGCACGGGGTAAGTATCTACGGCATGAGTTTCATAGTGGACGAGGAGGATCCGAATTTTGCCCAGTTCTCGCTCTAGCTATCAAATCCAGGTGAGATTCGGAAGTGATAAGATCGCTGCAATCGTCCACTATTTCAAAGCTGCTCCCACTTTGTACAAATCCCCGTCTCCTCAGCGGAAGTCTGCTGCACTGCACTTTCATTCAAGGGCCTTGGCATGTGCTAGTTCCGAGCTGAGCATTGCACCGGAGGCACAGGAATGAAGATTGGCGAATGGTCTCACCTGTTGAAGAATTGAAATAGTGAGAGATTTGTTGGGGAGTAGAACTTACGGCGGCCTTCAAAGCGGCGTTCCGACAGCTTCACAAATGCCGATTTCTCACTCTGAAGCCAACGAGATCCTTACGAGGGTGTGAGATATTCGTGATGAACCAGGAGTGCCCCGCGAGTTGCAGCTTCCAGAAGAACTGGCTCTACAAACTATGGCAGGTTTACAACTGGTGAGTGTGCAGGTACGAAAAGCACAGTGAGAGCTCGTGCAGATGGAGAGCGAAGCGCCTGGACACGAGGAGTAGGCAGAGGGCTCTGGCAAGATATACGCACAAGCAGGCAGGCCAGAACACCTCCGCAGTGGCGAGTTGTCAGACGAGGAAGCACGAGTAGAAAAGAGTTTATCAAATCTTCAGAAAGCTGACTTGAGGGAACCGAGGCAGAGCGTGACATACGGTCAACGACAAAGACAGCACGCACAGACCGTACCGGACCTAACCAGAGGTCGACCGACCAGCGACAGTACAGACTCGAGATGGTAAGAAAAACCAAGCGACGCTCGACGAAGTAACTCCTTCTCCAACGAGGTTCACAAGAGGACGAATCTGTTGATCATCATCCGTCGCAGAAGAGTCTCACACACTCTACGCAAGAGTTAGAAGGAGACAGCCGGAAGGAATTACGACGACTGATATGGTGACCACTAACCAAAGCTCGCCAGCTGCCCCAGTCAGATCATGAGATTGGAAATGCATGGCATGGCATGGCAAGAGCGGATCCACTTCACCGCAGGTAAACAAACGGAACCCGAGATTGAAAAGAATCCCAGCAACACTCGAAGCGCGAAAGCGAATGGGGAGGAGGAGGAGGAGGAGGGGGAGGGAATTGCGATGACTGACCAGGAAGGGTGGTGGTCACGACGTGAATCGAACGAAAGTGATCGCTCGGAGCAGGCTGGCGCAGTGGAGAAGCAACAGATGCTGACGGACGAGGGGCAAGAGGAGGTCTGGGAGCAGCTGTGGCAGCACACCAGCTTCTCCTGATGCACCTGGGGTCCTCCAAAGCAGCAGCGGCGGCCAAAAGAACGAGAAAGAGAAAAGGAAGCCGCTATTTGTTCCCAAATCTCACCAGCTTCTGCCCGTGCATTCATTTCGGCCCCTGGCTCTGGCTCTCGTTCTCTGCCTCCTCCCTGCTCCCTGCTGCCTCGCTCGCTGCCTCGCCCTCCCCTTCCTCGTCCTTACTCCGCGTTCACACCATGCACGCAGTGCATCCACCAGCCTCGGGGAAATACTGCGCGACTCCTGCGCCTCTCGACCTCGCAATCCAACGAACACAGACCCACGCACTCGCCGGTCCGCTGACGCGTTCCCGGGACCTAACCCACCCACCGGACGGCGACGGTTTGCGATGAGCGATCATCGATCATCGATCGCCTGGTTTGGACGGTGGGCAACAGTTCGAAGCTCGAGAGACACGGTGTGCTATATTGAGTTACGGCGAGCCGAGGACCACCGTAGGCGACGCGTAGACTTCGGGTCAGGGTTAGTGCACCGGAAGGGACTCTCTCCTCCCGAAAGCAGCTGTGGCTCCCAACGCCACTTCCATTGCTTCCAGCGGGATCTCCTCCAACTTGTCCGGGATTTGTTCGTTCCTCTCATTGGTCCAGACGCACCTCCAGGCCGGGATGAAATATCTCACATGTCCAACTCACATACAAATTAGAACAAGAATCGATTGGATGCTCGAGTAAATTCACGGCGGAGATGAATGCGAAAGGTTCTAGATGGTTCTCTTCCCTCGAATTTCGTTTAAAAGTTTCTTAAATTTTTATTCGACGTCTGATGTTTTCTCAACCCGCTGAAAATCAATTATAAGTGCAGCATGCTAGTTGCTGGGAATGTCTTTCTTGGATGACTTTCCCTCCTCTTTTCTTCTATACAAATTGTGAGACTCAATTTTCAGACTGTCAAAAGAACGAGGATGTATTGCATTCGCTTTAATTTAGCTCCGCGAGGTTGATGAATGATTGACAACGGACCCAACGGATGGAAAGCAAACCTCCTCGCATGGTAGCCAGACCTCGACATGGTCATGCCGCTGCTAAACCAGGAGAGACAAGTCCACAGTCCAGATAGCGCCCCCTCTATCATCTTATCTCCAGCTTCACTAAGACAATTATTCCCACTCGCCGGAGCTTTCTAGCGGCGAAGTGGCACACGAACGTGGCCAAATCGGCCGTAGTATACGGGGTGTCAGAAGAGCTCTCGAGGACAAAATAGCCGGAATAAAGAACTGGTGATTCTCGGATAAGGGACCAGGGGCTTGTCCGTCTGACATCCGGGCAGGGGGCGGAAACTTTCATCTCCATCAGGACCCAGATCCATGACGCGAGCCCGGATGATTCCTGTGGAGCTGAAACCCCTTCCCGTTGGGGCGGAGATGGAGATTCCAGCCTGTTGCCTGGCAGCCACCACAAACGTCTTTCCACGTGTCGTGTACTATCTGGCCGTCTTCGGAACCAGCTATTCTGTGGTGGCTCCTTCGACCTCGCCACGTAGACATTGCGCCTTGTTCGCGTGCATGGTCTGTCCCTCTACGTCACCTCATCGTAGCCTGTGGTAGTAATTCGACAGTCCTCAGAAGTCGCGCGATTTTTGGACAGTCAAGCTCTTGGGCGACCATCGTCAACATTCTATTTGGATCCCCGGCGAGACAGTACACCAATGTACATGGCATGACCGTTTTATTGCCCAATTTGGGTGCGCCGGAGCGGATGTAGGGTTGGCAAATTTGTTCTCGAAGCGAGGACGAGAATAGATAAGACGTCCTTCGTCTCCTGCATGAATTAACTGGTCTTCGACTTCATTTACGTCGTTCGACATTGGCATCGAGGATGATTCAGCTTCTCATGCCTTTTTCTATACCCTTTCCCTGCATTCATTGAATCGCTGAGCGTGCTGTACTCTACAGCCCCACAGCAGCATCACCTAGATTTTTTCGTGTGGAGATGAGGTTCTTGCCAACTCCAACAAGGTTTCCTTGCGCATGGGTCTCAATTTGGAGGCAATAAAGGGTGAGAAGTCTGATGAGATTTTATTTTTTCTTTGGTTTCTGGACCAGTATATCTATGTGCAACCAGCAGCGATTCATTGTTTCCGCAGGAGACATCGATCCATGCGAAGGAAGCCAAGGAGTTTATAAAGCAGCAAGTTAAATATTTTTTTAGAAGATTTTTGTTGATGCTCACTAAGCAACCTTCGGTCGTCCCAACGATCCTCGAGCCTATAATCAGCCGGATTTCGTTGCTACCGAAAGCTATAGACAGACCGAAAGGTCGATCAACTTCAATGAGAATACAGCCGTGAAGGGTTTTGACTCACAACTGGAATCTGCTCTCTGTCGAGAACTCATGAATTGATCCATTCCCTGAATCTACGTCGTTCAGCATCCATGTCTAACACATCGACATCTTCCAGACCAGTGGAACAACATGGCTGTACTTGCGAGCATCCAAAAACGACCTGTTCCGCTTCATCCATGCGTCCGGATCATGATTCCGTAGCACAGGAGCCATATCCAGACCCAAATCCACAGGCAGCGCATAACGGAACGTGGAATGTGGTTCGTACGTATGCCCGGAATAGACTCTCATAATTTAACCAGATTACCGGAACTCTTCCCCGCAACCTCGTTCTCGAAGAGGGTTGCGTCAGCCAAGAGGCGTCTTCTCATTTTCAATTTGGCGCCTTAAACTAAATTACGCCATCGGTCCCTGTCCTGTCGGCGGCCCTCCCCGACGCCGATGGATGTCTCCGCATTCCGTACCGGACGGAGACGCAAAAGCAAATGGGGTTCGCAGAGCTGTTATAGACAACGGCCGGTGCCCTGTACCTCCAGAAATGGACTTTCTCGGAGTCCAAGGCCATCAGCTCTTCATCGAGGTTCGGGATGTCGGACCTCTTGCCCTGTACAAAGGTGCGGCTTCGATGTTCTACAGTTTACAGGCATTGCACATTACAGTAAAGATTCGATGACTATGTGACTCACGTCGTTCTCTACAACGTAGTCCATAAGAACATTTCGGGGCTCACCCGTACCACGTGGGCACCTAAGCACGAGCCTACCGCCGTTCGGAGTGCGGACTCGGGACTCTGGACCAAGTTCTTTTCGAATTCAGAGATCCGATCGAGTTCCGATGCTGTCCGTCCAACAGGTCAGAGTACCGTAGTCCAATTCTCCTTTCCGGTTCCGGACTGAGTGAAGAGGCCCGCATTGATGAGTGAGGTGGCAGGTCCAGCGCTGACCTTTTATCCTGTGTGGCAGACTGCGGTGTCATGCCACATCCAGAGCCGCGGTCGGTGCCAGGGCCCGCGACGCGCTGTATCATGATCCCGCTCCCGCTCCCGGCTCACTTTCCCCGTTCCGGTGCGCTCCGCCAGGTACACAACACGCAAGACCGAGCCAGGCCTTCATACCTGGCCCTTCAGGTGAATGGGTGCTTCCTCTGGCCTTGTGAGGTCGACTGCTCATTGCTCGTGCAGGTTCCCCGATTAATACGACTAAAGCTTCAAGCCATTGGTCTTCTTCTGGACGCAACTCGGAGGTGCCTCAAGCGTCGTAGGTGTTCTCACAGTGGAGATTTACTGCTACACAACGCTGAAATTGTCCTTGAAGAGAGGGTGGATATTCTGGATAACAGGTGTCGAGACAAGAGATGGTGACTACAATTAACATACGGGATACCAATTAACGTCGCGTCAAATAATATGGGGATGAAAACAAAGGGGTTGGATGCATAATTATGGATACACACCGACACAATGGTGCGGGGCGTAAAGCAAAAGGAGTTAAAAGAATAGCCCATTAAGTAGTAAAGAGATGGAACTCACATGTAGGGCTAGGTTCTACTAACATTTATTATTATAAATAAAATATTTATTGAGTATTTACTCTTTACAATTAACATGGGCACTTAATGAGCTATCTTATGAACAACTAAGTACAAAATAATCACATGTCAATACTTCTCTACTCTCTGTTATGAATAACTATAATGAATTATAGATTCAATTTCACACTAATAAATATTTCCAAGGAATCAACACAGGAATTACTTGTTTGGCCTCAATAAGTCTACGTCCTTTTTACACATAGAGTCATTAACAAAAATCATAGATTCAGAGCGAATTTTTGTGAGCACTTTTATATAATAATTGTTAATTGATTCAAATAACCACTCGATTAGCATTTATCATTGATAAACCATAGTTCAATTAGTTAAAATCAATCGGAACCTGAAGTAATTTCTAACCAAAAAAATTTATATAAAAACAAAGCGTTTGAAATCATTAAACGTACATACGAAAAACGAAACCTCTCGTATGCTTGAAGCATATACGGAAATAAACATTAAGTTAATAAAACGTAAAACGTCAAAATTTAATCTTAAAAAGAATACAATTTATTTTCAG